AAACAAGAAAACTCAGTCGCCTGCACTACGGAAATCGAAAGCTCGATTGTTGTTCTAGTCTCACTCTTTCTGAAATAATTTGAAGCCATTTGGGTTTTCGAAAAACTAACACTTCAACAGGTCGACACGGCATAGAAATATAAAACGGGGTTCAAACTTAGACCCTAGCATCTAATCAAAATTTGTTCACGAAGAAAACACGTCATACAGTCAAACAAAAAACATTATACAAAGAAGGCCGCAGCGTGAAGCTGACGATTTACCTCCCTACAATGCATTGATCTTTGAATCCACATCCCTCATATCAGTGTTTGTTCCCCGGGGGCCCACAAATTGAGTACATTCTACTCAGTAGAATGTAAAGTGACAAGTAGCTACACATTTTATCTATATTTTTGTTAGCTTGTTTTCTGTTTGAAGATGATTGTCATCTGGGATGTTACACCATGTAGTATGGTAGAAATTTATCGACGTTTCGGAGATACTGCCTCCATCATCAGGAGGAGTATGGTGGAAGCAGCAATCATCCCTGAAACGTCAGTAAACTTCTACCAGTTTTCACAGCACAACACCCTGAAGAAAATCATCTTCACACTTGGCAATTATGTGATTTTTCTTTTCTTTTCAGGATTCCGATCTTGTTACTGTCCGTGGCTCTGATTTCTGCCCAGTGCCCAACTTACGTTAATCTACAACAGGTATACGAGTTGTAGGATCTGAGGTTTTCATGGCGGTGAGTCTGAAGATGGCTGTCTTCTGGGTTGTTGCGCCGTGCAGTCTGGTAGAAGTTTACCGACGTTTCAGAGGTCCTTGCTGACTCTGTTATCAGGGCAATGATGACGGAGGCAGCAAGGACCTCTGAAACGTTGGTAAACTTCTACCAGACTACAGGGTGCAGAACCCAGAAGATGGCCATCTTCAAGATTTACAGGATCAGTTAAAAAAAAAAAAATTATGGTGGTGGGATTAATTCTGATGAAAACTGAATACTATATTTAGATGGTAATTTTTTATATTGTGGATTTGCAAACGTGGCGCTTTACTTAAAATATAAAATAGACATAAGTTCTCAAAGAATAGAAACAAGCATATGGAAGACTAATGCAGTGGGAATTTGCGGGAGGACAGTTCAGTATCTTAATTAAATATATCTATCCACTAATTAATTTCTTACATCCTATCTCTTTCTGTGAAATGGGACGATGATAACAACCGGAAACATCTGAAAACACGACTCTTAATTGCACATGGGTACTTATTTTTTCTAGCCTCAGGTGAAAACTCTACCCGGTTACCAGTCATATGGCTCAACAGTGCCTCAGACACCCCTCACATACCCTAATGAAGCCGTGTGCTATTTGATCGCTTCTACAGGTTCCACTGGTAAAGTATCAGAATCAGTAATCTGAGCGTTATAATATTAAAGAGTACATTGTTTGAATCTACCATGGTCGCCATTAGAGCCGCTGTTTGTGCTAGTCAGAGAAACTCTGGTGGATTCAGCTGACGTAATCCCTCGACACTTGCATATTTTAAATGACTAATCGGTACGTATTTTTCCCCAGAAATAAAGATTGCGCAGTCAATTATTTTTCATCAAAGCCATCTTTTGTTTACAAATGACAGTTTATGCTCAACTTAAAATAATTTTTTTGTAAAATATGCAGTCTTTCTGTTAACTCATAATGCGGGCGGCTACCTCAGAGCGAGAGGCCAGGCTTCACACCCAAATATTCTTTAAATAATTTCAGGATAATTTAGGAACCATTTCACCATTGTAATTTCATAACTTGAAAATTATTGAATAAAATATTGTAGTGGGTAATATAAATTATATAATATAGAATATAAATTTTAATTTGGGTTTGCAATATAACATTCTACATCCCAAGTTTAAAGAAGAGGTTTTGAATTAAATAAATGGGGAGAAAAACATTTTTCCGACTTATAACTTACGATGTTGTGTCTGAAACAACAGTTTCTGGAGAGATACGCTTACATCAGGCTTCTCAAAATAATCCAGTTGAAATAACAGCTTCAATTCAAGGATTAAGACCACCAGGACTGCATGGTTTTCATCTTCATCGTGATGGCAACACTGACAATGACTGCAAAGCAGCCGGTCCACATTTCAATCCATTCAACGTAAGTTGTCTGATATTTTTGTGTTAACTTACGGACACATCATGCCTCAAAGTTGGTGGAAAATGGTGATGGATTATATAAGAAGCAGACATATTACAATTTTAGGGAAGTATCATTTTTACTACGCAGGAATAAATATTCAATCTGCATTTTAAAATATAAATAATCAGTTTTTAAAATCAATTGCATTTGGGTGGGCATCTGGTGTTTAAAAAAGTATGAAAAACACATTTAAGTCAGTAAGCTGAAAATAGTCTGGACATTTTGTGCTAAGGTCAGGAAACCGTAGGCAAAGTTATATAATGGGAGCTCATATTGAGTGCAAAATTTCCTTACGGAAAATTTCAGCAGATAAGACGTCAACGAATTGAGTAATTTCACTCCAAATATTTACTGAATTGAATTGAATTAAATTTCACATTTCACTTTTTTAAAACACTACTCCACAGAATTTCATGTTTCACTTTTTTAAAACACTACTCCACATTAAATTTCAATCTGAATACTTTATATTTCTGGTGACAGCTTTCGCTTCTCCCACACGTTGTATCGTCTGCTTATCTCCAATATTAATAGCAATAAACCTTTACAGCATACTCATGGTGGCCCAGATGATGCAGTCCGCCATGCGGGAGATTTTGGAAACATACTGGCAAATGAATATGGTATTGCCACTATTCAAATACAGGGTACATTGATCTCGTTGCATCCTGGAGATGAGGGTTACGCTGTGGGTCGAGCTTTCGTGGTGCATGAGGGCACGGATGATCTTGGAAAAGGTGGCAATGAAGAGTCTCTGAAGACTGGGAACGCTGGAGGTCGACTAGCCTGCTGTATTGTTGCAGTTATTAACTAATAAACGACCTTGAAGATGATGGAAATGGAATTTCACATATTTTATAATTAAAAATAAAATGATTTGCTTTTATGCTTCACGTATGTAACATTAGAAGGCTGTGGGTTAACAGCAGCTGAATTCAGTTTGTATTCCATAAAGCATTCAGCGCAGTTCCCTGCATGTAACTAAATATATAACCAATCTTTGTAAAGTGTCGACAAAAAAATTAAAACTTGTTACTTACATAGTTATTCTGTTTGCCCTTCTCTTCTGCATTGACATGCTATTTCCAGAACATTATGCAAGATTTTGGAACACAGTTCTGTAGCATCACAGTGCAAAGATGAAGATCACCGAAGAGAGAGATGAGTCTGGAGTAAACAAGGAAATTGTTAGTGATAATGCTCCAATCACACAAAGTACAGATAAAATGAACTGTAATCAAACCTTTAACTTCAAGTTATTGAACCATTTTGTAGTGAGATTCGGGGACCATCCTGTTATCTTTCTCTCTTCTATATAAAGAAAGACTACTTTAAGTTTATTTTTTGTAAATAAACCATTCTGCAAGATGGCAGCAGAAGAAAGAAAATGTTGCTGCTTCCTCCCTAAGAAAATCTGGTTTGGTCTGGTTTGATTCAAACTGGGAAGACCCCAGCACTGACAAGACTGGAACATACATTGTACTTATTTCT